TAATCATACATGAGCCGCAAATGCTATTAGTGTATGTCACATGCACAACTTATTAAATCAAGCTAAAGTCAATTATGAAAGTCAATTTTTTGTTGCATTCATGTTGTAGCAAATGGTAGTTGTTTTTTAAGCTTTAGTGTTCTGTTCGCTGATATACAGAAATGAATTAAGTTGTTAAAATATTGAGGCTTTAGATATTCTTTAATTTTTTTCTTTTATCCTTTTCTGGGGCCATATATTAATTTAAAAGATCTTTCCACCCTTAATATAGCCAAAGTCATTTTAATGATATGGTAGGGCTTTTTATTATGTTGTTAAATAATTTTTTAATGATTGTTCAAGCATTGAAGATTATTCTTCATTTTTGTTTAAAATAGCTTTTGGAGATTTGTGATCTTTGGTTTGGTGTTTTGATATTGAATTTGGTTTAGGCCTGATTCAGTCTTTTACTAGTGGGAATCCCAAAAAGTCTTGGTGCTTACATGGCTAATATGAACATTTCGCAAAATGCAATGAATAGTAACGCTCCTGAGATTGAGCTCTATACGTGGATAACTAATTTAAATAATTCGGAAACTCGAGAAAAAGCTTTGCTTGAACTGTGGTGGGCACCAGTGTTTTACATTTATTGTTTCTAGTAAAATGCGAGAAAATTTTCCTGATTTTGCGCCTCTTTTGTGGCATTCATTCGGGGCAATTTCTTCTCTTCTTCAGGAGATTTGCGCTGTGTACCCTTATATCAACCCACCAAACTTGACAGTGAGTTGTCCTTGACCGACTTTTATTTTTATTCCCTCACACGTTTTTTAGTGTGTTTTGAGTTTACCATCTCTGTTGAATTGTCGGCTTGAAATTTTTCGATAAATATAAACACTGTATGCTTTGCCCTTGAATTTAAATCGTTGACTTGGTTTTTTGTCGGCAGCGTTGGGAAGGGTGTCCCTTGTTTCTTTTACGCCATAATTTCCAGCCTTCTGTGTAGGCACATTATGAGGTAGTGCACAGAATTTGCTTTGGTCGACCGGGGTGCTGCCTCCATAGACTTGATCCGCTTCAATATCGTGGTAATCCATATTTTGTCTCGAAATTTCGTACTTGTTTATTTTTGGAGGCGCAAATATTGTGGACCGGTTTCTATGCTTCTGAAGGATGCTTATTTGTTGAGCTATTAATGAATTCTCTGTTTCATTTTGTACATCTAGACCGGCGTCCTTAAGTTGTGCTAATTTACTCTAATCAGACCTCTAAGTCAAAGTAATTTCTTTGTTTCCTTTTCTTAGGCTCACCAGTCAAATCGTGTTTGCAATGCTCTGGCTCTACTTCAGTGCCTGGCCTCGCATCCAGCTACACGCAGCGAATTTCTTAAAGCGAATATTCCCCTTTACCTGTACAACTTCCTTAGCACCAACAACCGCACTAGACCTTTCGAGTACCTCAGACTCACCAGTCTTGGTGTAATTGGGGCACTCGCAAAGGTTCGTTTTTTTAAATTTTTTTATTGTGGTTCGAAAATCGAAGTATTTCAATAACTTCCACCTTTTCCCTTGCTTGCTTAATGCGAATTGTCCCATTAGCTATGTTTCTACCACATCAAACCAAAACTTATTTTCATATTGGTCTTGTAATTTGCCAGGACTCTCATTATGAATATTTGTTCCCCTTTGTTTAGACGGATGAGCAAGAAGCAATCAATTTCCTTCTTAGTTCGGAGATCATCCCCTTGTGCCTGCATATAATGGAGTCTGGAAGTGAACTAAGCAAAACGGTAAGTTTCATAGCTTTCACTCGTAGAAAATTTCAGTTCTTTGTTGTAGAGCTCAACAACTGCACTTAATGTAAATTTTTTGATGAGTGCCTTTAGTTTCGAAAACCGTTCTGTTATTTACAACATGGCCCGAAATTCTCGCATAGTGATTTCACTACATTTTCAAGTAACATTAGCTTCGAATTGATTTTAACAAAGTTAATTTAATAAATTGCATTGTAATTCGGACAATAACCTCAATTCGGACCGTTCCATTGATAGAAGTGAACATGTGTAGTTTCCAGTATTTGTGAAAGGTCATTCGTGGGGGATTGATGTCTTTTGTCACCTTAAAAAAAGCTCTAAAACTTCAGGAAACCATGAAACAGTACATAGTTTCCTTTTTTGTTGGAATGGTTTCCGAATCATGTCGTGATGCTTCATTATTGTAATGGGAACGTGTTTGCCTGATGTAAAATTTGTAGTGCATTTAATCAATTTTGATAAAACTTGTTCTGATTAATAGCAGTTTATAAATAGTGCGATTTTAGATTGTGTTGGCTCTTGCCGATTTCGAATGCCTATTTTACCACGCTCTACTTGCTGCTTGAAAACTAAATCAGGGGTTCGCTTACCCACCCACTGCCGTCTATCGCTTCTGTTGCGCTGTTTTTAAATTTGCTACTGTTGAGTTCGGAGTAACAACTATTTCTGTTGCCCTGGCGTATTATTTGAAGCTTCCTGATGTTCAGATCTGATTTCTGGCGGGTAGTGAAATTATTCGGTAATGCGTACGCTGAATATAAGAGCAGGGGGCCTCGCGGTTGCATCGCAATTGCTTTTAATCGACGTTTTTCTTTCCTTACTACCTTGAGATTGGTTTCTTCGTATTTATGGTAGTCGGATATCTAAACGAATGGTGTTTGAGTAAAAAACTACCCTAGGATGCATTTTACTGCAATGTTAGAATAACACGAGTTTACTTCAAGTTTTCGACAAATTCAAATAAGCGTTTTTGGCCGTCGTGATGACTGTCGTGTTCAAACCGGCAGAACTGTTCTGGTTTCATAAAAGTCTCATTTTACCACAAATTTGCTGATCTTGGTTCTCGTTACATTTGCACCACTGCTTCGCTTTGAGCGTTATGAATTTGGCTCACTTAGTTTATTTCCCATGTATTCAATGAAATAAATACAGTTTCATCAGCCCCGTTAAATGAGAAAAGCTTTGGTTGAAGGATTTTGCCGTAGCGGATTTAATGTCGACTATTGGCAATACCGCGTCCATGTTTAGTACTCCAAATGGACTTGTTGCTTGCGCCTGACAACTGGGAATGAAAATTGATCCTCCGTTGGCATGTTTAATAACAAGTACAATACAAATAAAAAGCCCAATTTCCTAGCCCATTTTATTATTTTTTGCTGGGTACGTGGCAGAATGTGCAGTCAGTAAATTGATGATATAGCGACTCATTAAAGAAGATAGTAAAGGATGACATAAACAGACAGACAACCATTTACTCACCTACTATGCATATAATTAATTCACGGTTAATAAACCGGAGTTGGCAATCGCATTTATGATAAATTAAAACGTGGTCATTGCAAAATGTTTTTGAGTCGTTTGCTAATCAACCAATAACACTAGTTGACGTTCATGTATCTGCTCCATGTGGATCGATTGATGTCTGGAATAAGCGCTTATAGATTGATAATAAAAATTGTGAAGTGCTATTCCTGTATTGACCCTAACACTAGCCTTAGTCATTAGTCACAGCCTTTACTAAACTGTCTAAATACGATTCTTTGTGTGTCCAAAGTGTTTGCATTGCTCCGAGTTTACTTGATTTTAGCACCCTCATCTAATTTAGGTTGCCACTTTCATAATGCAAAAATTGCTCCAAGACAACGTTGGTTTGGAGTACATCTGTCAAACTTACGAGCGATTTGCCCACGTTGCCGCTGTGCTCTCTACAATGGTAGACCAGTTAGCTAAGGAACAGTCTCTTCGGCTTCTTAAGCATGTCATTCGATGCTACCAGCGGCTCTCGGACAACAGCCGGTTAGTTTTATAAATTTATTGAGTACAACATTTATTTTAATCTCTACCGTTTTTGCTGTAGAATCATTCATTTAGTTGTCTTTTAAAATGGAACCTTAGTCATGACAAATATAATTATGTCTTTTTGCTAAAAGTCGGTGTGTACACAGTTCCGTCTAACTGTCGTTGGGTAATTGTGGTTGTTGTCGAGCACTTTCACGACTTTTGTCTAGGTAGCTGTCCAGTTCTGAATAAAAGCCTTGATTGTGGTAATTATTATTAGGAACCTCCCTCGGTTCTCATTAACTATGCTTTGGGAAAGGAACTGTGTGAAGTCACTTTGGTGAATTTAAAGCCTTATTTTCTTCTGGGTTATCAAATAGTTGCGTCCCCTTGAAACCAGACTCCAAGCTCACATCGGCATACCCACGTCTAAATGCACTTGGTCACATGACCTGAGCCAAAATTGACGCAAGGATACTTTATGCCACCACCCTTTTGGCTCGTTCTTATGGATGTAGATATCTCAGAGAAGCAAATTAGCACGTTTATTGATCTTCTTGCATGATCGGACAGTTCTGCCACCAAAACGGCGTCTTTGTGTGGGGTCGTGCTTTATTTGCATGTCCGAGATCAACTGTCTTGTAATGCCCTAGTTGCTGGTAAGGGTAAGCTTGTGACCGGGCGGCACCTAGTTGTTAATCTAATTATTCTGTAAAAGTGCTAACTCACAATACCCTTGTATGCAATTCCGTTCATGATGTGTCGCCTTTTGTACAAGTTATGTGCTATAATTTCTTTAGTGAGTGAAATAATTTAGCATTGCCACTAATTCCACATCGTTCACTTTTACTACAACAGATACTGTCTAGCTCTTGTCGTGGCTTTGTATTTTTCTCAGTTCACCTAAGGTAGTTCTACTGTTCATATCATCAGCGCTCTCAGTAGGATCAAACATTTTCACATTTAAAACGCTCTAGGGCAGACGAAAAAACTGTCCTACTTAGAGGACCAAGTCTGAGATCTATTTCCAATGCGATGAGGCATTCTACTGGAGAATCTCTAAGTTTTATATTTTAACAATAATCATGTAATGGCGGGATTTCTTTGTAACAAAAAAAACGGGGGATGTGGCATTGTTCGTCCCATGCAATCAACAGCCAGCAGCCTCTTTTTTGCACTAAACTTTTCTTGTGATCCTGGGACCAAATTATTGCATAACAGTGTGCTTTGCTGGCGTTACGTTCTTGTAAGAGGACAAAAGTAAAATTTGGTACAACCCGCGTTGGTTGGGTGGTCTAATTTGGTTTTCGCTTATTGGTAATTAATTTTCGCAACTTCCCAATTGTTCCAATATACTTTGTGCGGTATGTCATGCCCTCGGTTATTGATTCCGTCTTTTGTCTAAACTTGACCCGGACTCTCAAGAAACCCGTTTTCACGTTCTACTTCGCTGTCAGCACTTAGTGAATGGATTGGATTCTCTCTATTAATTTTTAAGTTGTGCTTCGCGGTTACTTGCCAGGTTTTTTCGGGGAAGCTTTTTGTACGGTAGGTGGTTTTTTGTCTTAGCACCTGGCTTGTCGACAAATGACAGCCCAATTGAGTCGGACCTTGTCAAACAAGCTACCACGCGTTCTATTTTAAGTGGGAATATGTCTGAGTGATGACCCTATTCAAATTGCCTGGACAACAATTACAATTTAAAAAGTATTGGTCAAATTTAATTCGCTGAATGCAAAGGTTGAGTAGGTCGTTTGGGTGGTGAATCTCGTTGATCGTTAAAGAACTGATTTTGCATAGGTGACTTTGGTGTAGTGGCGCATCGGTGTCAACCAAATCACTCGAATGCTGCCCTTAGTAATAAATGCATGCGTTGATGCCTTGTGTTAGTCTTGGGGTCTGGTCGAATTTTTTAGGCCACTTCGAATTACCAACGCAACACGTGCAACGAATTCAACCATTTTTATTGCATAGAAAATATCGAAGCAAATTTTAGGAATGCCCTGACTCGCTGGATCAATTCGCATTGTTGGATTGTCTTAGACCGCAGTCCCAGTTCTTAATTTGATTTTAAAATTCCATTACGATTTTAATTATTAGAGTAAGCGTTTATCTACTGCCGGTGGGTGGTGCATCAGCCGCAGAAAGCGACAAAATGCACTCCGTCACCATGTTGGGCCTGAACTCAGAATTGCCTCGTAATCTGGTTTGATTTAAACTTTGTAAACCTGTCCAATTAATGGGGTTTCTACATCCTTAGATGTATGTCTTTTGCCTACATTTTATTTCTTGTTGCATGTAGTAGGTTTGTATTCTCCCAGTTAGATGATGTGATTTTTTAAACTATGGTTACCATTGCAAGTCATTGAAAGGCATATGACGCGGTAGGAGTTGCCGTGGCATGTGATAATTTTTAATGTGCTCTGTGTAAACAAAATAACACCTTTCGCGTCTTCTTGTCGGCTATCAATTCCCCTAGGCATTGTGACTCCTAAAGTATCGAATTTGTAACATCTGTAAAGGTTGTCTCATTCGATTACCATTTACAATCTGTTTATCTCCCGCAGTCATGCCATATGCAAAATCATTTATTGCCTGTTTACTCTGTCACTCCATTCGCGTAACGCGGCAGCAAGCGTATAAACCTTATTTTCTAGCGAACCGTTATTTCGGGGATATTCGTCGCTTCTTCTTGTGGTTTTAAAACACGAAAATTAAATATCGACATGTCTATCACATTCTTGTGTGTGTATGTGCGTGCTTGTGTGTTAAATTGGCATAATTCGGCAGTATTCAGTCGAAGTTCAATGAATTGACTTTACGTCTGGTTGGTGTGTCCAGACTGTTGTTTCCACTTACAGGGCTGCAGAGAGCACCTTAAAGCTGGTTCGTACAAACTACCATTGGTTAGTCACGTTCTACTTTTGATGAAACTCCAACGAATTAGTGAATCGATACTTGCTTGTTGGTCTGCCAACTTCACAGATTAAGCTTTCCCGAAATCGCAGGTTCAGGCACCAACAATATTAACATCAGTGGTGCTGTGGCGATCAGCATGCAAACAAGTCTGAAAACCCTAATTCAATCGATTATCTTGAATTAACTTCGCGTAGCGATGTTTGTTCAGAGACCGAATGTCATGTATTTCTAATACAAGTGACTCATTTTCACGCTAGACCAACCACACTCTCACTGTTGCGATAAATCGGTTGAACCCCACGTTGTCCACTGTCCTCCTTCCTGTCCGGGCCGTGTCTGCATAGTTCGTCGACCCCGGGTGCGGTTTAAAATAACGACACCGAGGCATTTAGTGTGTTCGACTCAGTTTCCTAACATTGTAGCCTCCAGCACTTTCCGTAAACGTTGTCAAGAGTTTCACATGTTTTATGGAATCAGGAAACTGGAACCTTTCATAAAGTAGTAACTTTCCACTGCATTGGGCAGACCGATAAACGGTGTCATTATCGTACGCTCCCCTTGATGGATGAGCGTAAGTTAAATATTATGTTCAACTATGCGAGGATGGGTACAAACAGGTGTGATTTTTACAAAGTGTTTACCAGCCTCATTATAAAGGTTCTGTTACGTTTTGCCCGTAACTAAGACCACGCACTGAGATGACCGGTACCTCAATTCCCTTGTCTAACGCTAGCTCCCACCATCCCACGCCGATATAAGACGAGGAAAGACCTCGTGTAGAGACCTTTTAATGTCTCAGCCAAAGGCCGCGTGATCATTCAAAATGTTAACGCATATCCACGTCAACGGTAGCCTTGATCTGATGGATCAAGGCGGATTAGCACTGATGCGCTGCCACTAGGCTGCCGTTGTGACACCCAATGAAGTGGCGTGGTTGAGAGAATTATGTAAAAAATGACGAAATCCGAATCCGTAATAGGCTATCTTGGAGGATGCTCAATCCCCAACAGGTTCATATCTTCATGTATGTTAACTTATGTGGATTAAGTGGCAAGCTTCCTTTTTTGAACTTGTGCCTGCTGTCTTCTGGGGATGTAGTACTATCCGTATTTTTCAATGGTCAAATGGAATAAAAGCCTAATATAACACCGGAGATTTTTTGGATCTTCTATTTACTGCAGATATTCTTGTCATCACAGTAGGGGCTATCGTTTGCCTTTCACCGAACGCTTAATGTCAAGATTGTTTAGTGTTGCACCAAATTACGGACAATTTCGTAGGCGCGACTGGTGGCTGAAACCGGAGGTCTAGTCAAATTGTATTGGAGGGGTTTTAAGCACTTTACTTCAAGCCCCGAGAAGCTGTCAATAGCAAAGATCGTCCATTAGTTGTCAACTTTCCCTTGCTATGTGGTGTAATGCCAAATCTGTGAAATTCGTTGTTCGTGGTACCAATGATACTGCTGCTGTTGTCCAGTTGCGTCATTGTTATCTGGGGATCGTCACTAAGTGAGGTTCTAGTTCTGCCACAAAGGGATCACATACTCACATTCCGTTAAAATGAACAACCAGAATAGGAAACTGGGACTTTTACTAGAACTCGATTTACGATCGCTGCTTCACATACATGTCGCGTTGGCGTCGATAATTCCCGTCATTTGCCGTGGCCATCGATTTTTTTAATTTAAGGAATCTTTCTGTAAAGCATTTGATCACGTTAAGCCTGGCAGACCATTTAAAACAGTGCTGAGAATTTTGAAAGTGGAATTTCCCTCAACCCCCCACCTTGGTAATAAGCAATTTTGAGCGCTTTTCTGTGCACAGTTTACTCCGTCCGTTCTCACATTATTTGTATCTATACTGTTCATGTTTATTTGTTAGTGCGTGATTGGAAGTCGAAACTGCCTCGCGAAAGTCTGAGCACAGACAGCTTATATTCTGATCTACCTTTGCGTCGCATTTGAGTGACTTTCTCGATATAGTTGCCGCTCCCAAGTTACCTTGATGTTTTCTTGTTCATCGTCACGTGGGGCATTGTGCGTGATTCTTAATTGTCTGCCCACGTTCTTTTCTTGTCTTGAGGTTTGTACGCCTTGCTACTTTTTCCTTTTCTACACCCATTATCCTTTTGCATGGTTATAGTTTCGCTAAGAGTATTCCTTCAAGGCTACTAATTACTGCCGCATTTTGAAACACTGCTTTGTCTTCATTTCCCTTCTCTCTACACTTCGAAAGGGAACGTTTTCCCATTTATTTTTCGTACTCCAACGTCGTCAAAGCGACCTACGAACTGGGGGCACTCGTCTATAGCATGATTTTTATCGATTTTCTTTCCTCCGACTTAACGGAACGGGATTGTGGTGAAATGTGCTTG